AAAAATGCCTTTTGCCGTCTGTGTTCTTTTCCGTTTCAGTTTTAAAAACCCTAAAGGCTCAGAAATGTACCTTAAATCTGTGTTTCTTGATCGGAACATAAACTTGAACCGGTCGCGGAGGTTTCCATGGTGACTTTACTTTACAGCATTGGGCCGATTTTTCCATACTCACACTCACTTATTACAGGACTTGTGAGTGCAAAAACATCTGGATGACTCAATCAAAATTCTTCCCAGTTTCAATGTCAGCCTTAAAAACGGAGTTATCAACTCCCACCTTCAGATCCCTTAGACCAGGGATGTCAAAATCAAACACACTGAGGGCCAAAAAAGCTAATTTGCTACAAGCCGAGGGCCGGACTGGTTCAACGTTTATTAAAACATATCGAAACGATTGCACATAGACTATTGAACCAAGACCTAACACAGTGTATTCACACATATTCACAATGATTAAATGAATATGGCAATATTTTGTCATGGCTCTGTCGGTAACTTCAAGGGAAAACATTTTCAACAGCCAAACAGCAAAAAATTAAATTGTTTTTCAAAACAAAATGTGTTTCTTAATATCAAGATAAATGCATAAATAAAAGTGCATGCATTATAAACGGAAAATGTATTATTGTGCTGCTCTATGATCTACCGATCACTGCTTTCAAATAGTAAAATTTAAAAAATAAATCAAATCAGTTGTATTCTTTCTCATGGCTCTTATCTGCAATTTTCCCTGAGTCCATTCAAAATAAATATAAATAAATAAAATACAAAAATGTATGGCACAATAAAGCTAGCCTTGACAGCAGCCTCACTTTGTGATTTAGCATATGTGAACATAGCCTGTCTGGACTAAAGGGCTCGTTTTAATTCTTCCACCTTCTGTAGCTTTTGTTCATATTCCATATTCTTGTCTTTGTCTGTGTGTTTCTTAGACGTTTGATAGTGCCTTCTTAAATTCAATTCTTTCATTACAGCCACACTTTCTCCACACAGCAGACACACAGGTTTCCTTTTACCTCCGTAAACATGTCCTCTGCCTCCCACCTGGCCTGAAACCTGCTGTTCTCAGCCTCCACCTTACGTTTAGTCCTTTTTGAGGAGGGGGTTTCAAAAAGTAAAACTCTGCTCTGAACGAATGAAGCCGTTTGTGCGGCTGCAGTGACTTCGCGGGCGACCGTTGCATTGTGGGAAATGTAGTGTTGGCGCGTACAAAACACCAGCAGCTTCTAATAATAATTAAATATCATCCAGCGGGCCATAGATAATCAATTCATGGGGCCGGATCTGGCCCGCGGGCCTTGACATTTGTGCCTTACACTCACTGTATAAAAAGACACAGATTTTAATGTTGAATATACTAAATGAATGTACTAAATGATTAATCTACTGGAACAGGCTTGTTTCTGTTTAGCTTTTGAGTTGAATCCCAGTTAATTCCGATCATTTTCATCCGGCCAAACATTTTACTTTTCTTTTTTCTTTTTTTCGGTGACCAAACATTTTCTGAGCACAAGGCAGCCATTCAGGGCCTGTGAGTGTTGGGAGGTGAGGG